TTTTCTAGTTCTGAGAGGCGCTGGGACAAAGGGTGCCGCTCGCCGCTCCGCCGCCTTGAGCCCGTCCATCTGGGAAGCTGGGGGTTTTAGGACGGCTCTTCCAGGAACTTTCTCTTCTTTTCCTGCGACTGCTGGCTGCAGCCACGCATCATGAAGGCTCCAGCTCCCGTCGCCGCCGGCCTCGCCGGGGCAGCAAACAGGCCCAGCTGGCGCTGCCACCTGCCTGCACTCGTGCCCAGCTTCTCCGGCTGTAATTAGGGCTGATTGCCTGCAAGCTGTGAAACTGCTAAAAGCAGTGTTGGCTGCAGTTCCTGGCTGTGGGTCTCTTGGGATTGACCCTGTTGTGGCTCTGCCTTAGAAATGTTGGGAATCGCCATGTTGTGGGAAAGGGTGGCAGCCAGCCCCGCCAGCTCCTGGTGCGTCCCAGCATGGTGGCAGCGCTCCTCCACCCTCCTCTGCTGCCTGTGCGTCCCTGAGCACGGAGTGGTGGGCAAAGCCGTGGTGCCGGGGTCGCTGCTGTGGATGCTCTGGATTGCAGGTTTCCATGAATAACCACTTGGAGAGACATAAGTCAGTTGTTTCTGGGGCACCGGCTAGCAGAAACTGTCTGGTCTTGCTCGCTTGTGTCCCACGAGCGTCACAGGGCATCTCCAGCGTTTGGTCTGTGTCAGCAGACTGATCCCAGTGTTGCTGTCCCGTCCAGCTTCCGCTGTAGCGAGCGGATGTTCCCGGTGAGGACGGCCAGGCCCCGGCCACCACTTGTAGCAGCCTTGGTCCTGCTGCCAGGGAAGTTCCTGTGCCTGGCCACGGCTCCAGGTTGCTGCAGGGAACTGGAGGGCAGGTGTCTTGATTTTTTTGCCCCCCATCTGCTGTTCTCCAAGGGTGATTAGGGGGTTGTTGCACAGGACAGGCTGGAATCTGGGAATGGGACAGACCTGGCGTGCAGCCGTCCTGGGCTGCCTGGCAGATTACAACTCCTCCGCGGGCTCAGAGAGTCGTAAAAACAGTAGTTCGTGCTCCTTAGGGTGGGCAGAGCGCGTGTGATCGGGGCCCCGCGGCGCCGGGGCGGGGGACGCTCGTGGGTAACAAACCTTCCGTGGCCGGACGCTCCTGCCGCTGGAAAGCGAGCGCGGGCTGCAGGTCACGCGCCATGCCGCGGGGGGCTACGTGGGTT